GAGGTAATAGAATAATTTATACTATTGATTAAAGTGCTTAATTGTCTATGAGTAGATATGTAAATTTCCTACCTATGATTTGAAAGCATTACATATTGTGAAATGAAAATTTTTTGTGCATTTGAAGTGATTTCCCAAACAATGAAAATTTTTGAAAAGTCCTTTATACAAGTTAAACGTAAAATGGATACAAATATGTGTTATGTATGAGATGTGTGAGTATGATCATAATGGGGGTGAGAGTTCACTTATAAAAAGAGTAGTAGAGTCCACATAGCATGTATCTCTTTAGTGCCTAATAAGGTATGGTGTTAGAGATTTTCTCCTTAATATTCAAGTGGATACGGCATTGAAGATTGATGCTTCTTAGCATTAATGATGTAATGTTGGAGTAATGAGACCCCGATTCGTGTTTGAGAGGGAGAGACCATAGTTTGGAAGTGGGATAGGAAACCTTTAGCCGAGCAATCCTATCATCGAAGGTGAGCTTGGGCCATGGTGAATGTGCACTTGGTCCAAGAGCTTACGATTTCAGTTGGGGTGACATGAAGACTTGGATGGTAAAATGATCAAGGTAGAGTAGAAATGAATCATGATGATTGAAAAGATTATGTGGATTATTCTAATGTATATTTTTGTGTATATTAGCTTTACTCCCTTATAGTTGTGCATGCTAATTGATAGTAGTGAATTCTTTTGTTACTGAGATGTTTATTTCACCATGTGGTTATATTTATAGGTGAAGGCTCCTGTAAGGGCAAGGAGAAGGAAAAAATGATTGAAGAGTGAAGAGCTTCATTTTTATAGCTCTTCCCTCTCATATTTTGGTTTTGTAATGAATATGTTATGATATTATGCCAAAGTATTTCATGTTTTACAACCACTTGTATGAGATTTTGTGAAATGTGTGTATATCTCAGCCTAAAATTTAGGTGCTTATAGTTAAATTATTACGAATAGCTAAGATATTAGTGCAAGTAACATAATTGTGTTAATTATGTGTTGGAATTGTTAAAAATGACTTTTATGATGAATTTTATCTTCCCCTTTATATTGTTGTGATTTTAGGTTTGGTGGTCATTTTGTGGTTGGTGTAAGGTCTCTCTTACTAAATCATGTTTAACTCTAAAATTAGGATAATCAAGGGAATAAGCCTTAAAGGATTACCAAAGTTGTAAAGTTTGATAAAAGAGAAAAATTTCTCAAAACATTTACAATGAAATCCCAAATTCAGCATTTTAAATGTTCATCAATATTTATTATGCTCAAATCAGAGTTTAAAAAAAAGTGTAGAAGCTTGAAAATTAAATAGGACTCAAAACTATAAATTTTAAGACTCAAAATTGGATTTTGTGCAAAAAAACATGACGTGTGCTATGGCTTATGACCTATGCACTATGGCTCATCTTTCTTGGTGCCATGCGCCATGACATAAGGGGCCATGTGTCGCAGTGTATTGCATGAATTTGACAGATATCAGCTTTCAAAATGACAGCATAGGGAGCAAACTTTTGATGTGTCCCAAATCTTCGTCTAACGTCCCCAGAGCTTTCTCTTAACTCTAGCTAATGACATTAGTTTCACACTCCATTCTTTTTCTATAAAAAGTTGGACACTAAAACTTATTTTACCTCTTTTTCACAAAAATCTCACAACTTTGGTGTCTCAACTTAATCATAAGTGCCATAAGCTTATACTGACCATTCGACCACATCCTCTTTCATGCCTAGTTGCACTCACCCCTCAATTCTCATGTAACATATCACACACAATCAAAAAGCACATATATATTAAATCTCCACTCAATCCCAATTTTCATAAAATATAAAGGGGAGGATAATATTGCATAAAATCATCATTTTTATTCCAATTCTCTCAAAATGTATATGTTCCTACTTACACAAATATTTTAACCCTATCCGTGAGTTTACAACTAAAACTCACTAATCTAAGGCACAAAATACATAAGTTGTATACTATAATAATGCAAGTAGTACAAAAACAATAACATGTGATCCTAAATGGCAATTACACAATATTAATACACAAAATAAAGTAAAGAGGCATGAAAGTAGGATTTCACATAATCTTATGCCTTAAAGTGGTTTTCCTTGGCTTTGATCCGATGAGCTAAGCCTTGAAATATTGAGAATTGAGGGATGAGTATAACTACTCAGTAACTAAGATTCACCTAATTTATACAGATACATATCAATTGTAAATAAATGCAAATAGGCAAAAACACAATATTATTACAATATGATGGAATTGGCCATGGTCACAAAAACTAATAACTATGTGACCGGACCCAAAACATGCATAATTAAGTTATTTTACAGAGCACAACACGGAGTTGTGATAATAATAACCATGCACCCTTAACTCATATCGGACCACAATACTAATAACTATGTGGTCGGATTGTATGTATGATTGTATGCCAACCTTATACCCTATTGTTATCTATAACATGAAACAGTGGCTATCACGTGGCTATGTCTTTCACGGACTAACCTAGCCTTTCAGTTGTGAGGAGCTACCGGGTTAGGGTTAACTCACTCATTTATGTAATTCAGTTTCCCCTAGCATTAACAACCATGGGGTGTGGCACCCCTAATCTAACCTCCTAATGAATCAGTAGAGAGTAGTTAGGTTCGAGTCCTTTGTAAAACAAGTGGGATAGTCCTGAATTAACCATGGGCAAAGGCTACCATTCGATTCCAACGGTTAGTGCCAAGGCAAGTTCTCGATTCCAACGGTTACTATCAATACCACGTGAATTTAAATCAATCTATTTCTCTCCTTACACGAACTTCTGCTAATAATCATGCTGTGTACATTTTACATAATATGCATTTTGAACAATTAATTCATGGAAAATAAACTCACATACTTATGCTCAAATACTTCACATACTCAATACATTACATATCACAATGCTCCACCCATAATGACAAACCATAATCAAATTCATAAATCACAATTGGGTGGCATAATCAAAGTTTTCTTTCTCAAAACCATTTCATAAGTTAAACACATTGCCAATATGCATCTTTAAGTTAAATCATCAACCATATTTCACAAAAACAATCAAATTCAACTATAAAAATTAGGTTTCTCCTGATTACCTCAAACCTTTGAGAGGTTAAAGGTTTATCCTTCACACAAAACACTTCCAAAGCTTCTCACTAACTTGAATGGTGCCAAATTAAACCTCACTACAATCAATAGCAAGAGTACCATCATTATCTCATATTTGAGGATTTACCACTACCAAATCCCATATATCTATTCTATCAATCCCTAAATCACTACCCATTCATACCCCATAAGTGCACTAGGTTTCATTGATGTACATTATCATTAATAACTCTTCAAATCACCATTAATGGACATAAATCTCTCCCAACTATCTCATTTGTGTCAATTTTCAAATATTTATTACTTTCATGAACCAACCATTCACAATCATTAATGTGGTGTTCTAATATCTTAAACACTCTCATTATACCTATTTTAATCAATGGAAATAGATCCATACTCCTATGGACCGAAAATAAACTTCCTAACTCAAACCCTATTATAAATATCAATAAATGAGGGAGAGAAAGGAAGAAGAAATAGATTACTTACCTTAGGTGTTTGGGAGTATTAATCTATCCACAAAGGTTTCAATATGCGTGCCCTAGCAGGGCTTTAATATGCTCTTTGATTTTCTTCCTCTCCTCTTCTCAATTTTTTACATGCAAAATGCATTTGATTTATCATATTTTTGGTCGTATGCTATAGCACATGCTGCCTTTGCCACGGCGCATGGCATAAAGAGGTTGTTACATTTAAATCTACTCCTCTGTGCTATGGTGCATTGTCTACACACTATGGCATGTGGCACAAAGGGCACTCCTTTATTCTTTCTTCCTTTTTCCTTGCCCGAGTGGCCTGCCATCAATCCAAAACCACTTCTAGGGTTGAAATCATAACAATCTACATAAATTAAGCCTCTTTGGCTATACACCTCATTAACTCACTAATCACGATTATTAGGTTAACTAATCATGATTAAATTTTCCTAGATGTTATAGTTAGGCTATTATTATTGTAATATGATTGGCCTATTATGTTGTGTATGGTCTGTTTAAGTTGGTCAAAGTGATTCTAGGGCTATTTGCATGAATTTGTGTGATTTGGACACCCTTAAGTGAGTTTTATGATAAAAATAAATCATTTTAGGTTTGAATGTCTAACTTTTTAATGATTAATAATTTGGGTATGAAACCAATGCCAATAGCTAGACCTCCTCACGGTAAAGCTACGTCCCCCTACTATAATCCAAGATATTCTTGTAAATGTGATGCATGTCAATGCACATGCCTTCTTAAATTTATTTCAATCAATACTCACACACCCGTATGCATATACTTTCACAATGTTGCTACTCTATCAGTTTACAACACAATGCACGTAGTTATATTAAAATACTTGTAAAAATTTTCATAAGCAAACAAGTAAAAGGGTTACTCCAGTTACCTTTAACCCTTGCTACTAAGGGTTACTAATGACATTAAGCTCCTAGAGGCACAGATTCTCACGAGCAATTTCACAAGTGCTCAATCTACATAACACAGTATCCCTCAGTCAATTCTCAACACTTGACATAGGCATTAATTTGACTAAACCAAATCCCTTAACATAAAAAACAATTCAATTAAACCCTTTTAAATTCACTTATCCATTATTTATAGTCATTAGTCCTATAGGTTACTCAAACAACCATAACAACCTCTTAACACATTA